TCAGCAGTTTCCGGAGGCCGCTGAGATCCCCCGCTGGGGAGAGCTGTCTAGGGCTGGTGTAGCTATTTATGATCTTGACTTTGATGCTATTCTCTCTGCTATGTATGCTGTGACTGGTAGTGATGAGGATGACTGTTACCGGTGTTTCCCGCCCGACCCGGGCATTGGTACTGCCGCGTCAGGTACTAGTGAGGCTGCTGCTCTAGGTGCCAGTGCGTCTGTGCTCTCAGGTACTGGTGAGTCCGCCCTCTCAGGTACTGTGTCGGCTTGGGCCTCTCACACCTTCACCCTTGACTCTGAAGCGTCTCGCTCCTTCTTTAGGGACCGCACCACTCTCACGCCGCTGAGTCGGCCTGTTGCGGTGTCCCTGGCTGACCCCTCTGGGGGGCCTGTCCTGTCTCGCTTCTCCACTGTCCTCCCGTGTCCGGCGGCCCCCCTCTGGCACCCTGACTGGTCTCTACCTCCCCTCGTTCTCGACGAACTTGGTGAGTGGTGCTGACCTTCAGGATGCGGGTGTCCACCAGTTCACCCCTGCTCGTCAGCGGGTGACCCACTGCACGGAGGCGGATACAGGTCGCCACCTGGCTACGTTTACACGTCGGCCAGGGTCGAGCCTGTACACACTGACCACTGCTTCTCCTCCAGGTACTGCGTCTGGTAGGGTCCCTTTGTCTGGTCAGGTGTTTGCTGCAGCGTCCAGGTCTGGTCCTGAGTCTGCCCCCTGTTCGTGTCGTCGTCTGTCTCACGAGACCCTCCTCTGGCACCACCGCCTTGGCCACCCCTCTCTGCTTCGGCTCAGAGGCATGGCCTCGCGAGTCCTTGTGTCTGGTCTTCCCCGGTCCCTCCCTCCCCTCCCTCCGGGCCCTGGCCCTGCCTGTGTCCCCTGTGTCGAGGGGCGCCAGCGTGCTGCCCCTCACTCCTCCCAGTTTCCTCCGACAGAGGCCCCGTTGCAGACGCTTCACATGGACGTGTGGGGCCCAGCCCGCGTCCGTGGCCAGGGTCAGGAGCGCTACTTCCTGCTGGTGGTTGACGACTACTCGCGTTACACCACAGTCTTCCCCTTGCGCAGCAAGGGTGAGGTCACTGAGGTGTTGATCGACTGGATCCGCGCAGCTCGTCTCCAGCTTCGGAGGAGCTTTGGCTCTGACTTCCCTGTTTTGCGTCTGCACTCGGACAGAGGCGGAGAGTTCTCCTCTGCCCTCCTGAGTGCCTACTGTCGTGTGCGAGGCATCCGTCAGACCTTCACGCTTCCGGACTCACCACAGCAGAATGGGATTGCTGAGCGCCGCATTGGCATGGTCATGGACGTCGCTCGTACGTCCATGATGCATGCGGCTGCTCCCCATTTTCTGTGGCCGTTTGCGGTCAGGTACGTTGCGCACCAGATCAACCTCCACCCCAGGGTCTCTCGACCGGAGACCTCCCCAGCTCTGCTGTGGACGGGGAAGGTTGGCGATGCGTCGGCGTTCCGGGTCTGGGGATCTCGGGCGTTTGTTCGCGACCTGTCTGCGGACAAGCTGTCCCCTCGTGCTTCTCCCTGCGTCTTCCTGGGGTTCCCCCCCGACGCCCCTGGGTGGCAGTTTTACCACCCCACCTCTCGACGTGTTCTGTCCTCCCAGGACGTCACGTTCGACGAGTCGGTACCCTACTACCGCCTCTTCCCCTACCGCACTCCGTCCCTCCCCCCACCCCCGCTCTTCTTGGTACCAGGTCCCCCCCCGGTAGTCCCCCTCCCCCCTCAGGGTCCTGCCCCTTCAGGTGTGTCCCAGGTAGACGCGGTTGAGCCTGTCGAGGTCACTGGTGACTCTGGTGCTGCTGCGGGAGCTGAGCCTGGGGGTGCGGAGTCTGGGGGTGCTGAGCCTGGGGGTGCTGTGCCTGGGGGTGCTGAGCCTGGAGGTGTCGAGCCTGGGGGTGCTGTGCCTGGGGGTGCTGTTCCTGGGGGTGCTGCGCCTGGGGGTGCTGAGCCTGGGGGTGCTGAGCCTGGGGGTGTTGAGCCTGGGGGTGCTGTTCCTGGGGGTGCTGAGCCTAGGGGTGCTGTGCCTGGGGGTGCTTCGTCTCGCCGGGAGCCACTCTCCTCACAGGAGCTGCGTGAGTGGTTTGCCCGGCGCTGGAGGCGTGCTGCTGGTGCTGGTGGTTCTTCGGCTGCAGAGGGTACTGCTGCCACGCGTCCTGGCGGTGCTCGTACTGTGGGTGCTGGAGCTGCTGGGTCTGAGAGCTCTTCTGGAGCTGGTACTGCTGAGGGTGTTGGCGCTGAGCCTGCGGTTGGAGGTCCGTCTGACAGTACTCCTGGTGCTGCTGCTGGAGGTTCTGGAGCTTCTGGTGGTTCTGCTGGAGGTGCTGCTGGAGTGGGTGCTCCTGACGGGCCTGCTGGTGCTGTTCCTGCTGTTTCTGGCGTCGCCGCGCGGCCCCGACCGTACTTCGTTCCGCTCCTGCAGCAGGTTCTTGGTCTTGCACCTCCTCCTCCTCCCTTAGAGGGTCCGCAGCCTGTCCGGCCACAGCCACAGCTACAGCATGCCTCCCCTTTGCCTGCTCCTTCTCCCTACGCTGGTCCGACTGGAGGTCTTACTGAGCGTCGTGAGCCTGCGTCTCGTCCTGCGTCGCCTGTTCGTACTGAGCGCGCTAGTGGTCGCGGGTCGCGTCAGCGTCCTCCTCCTGTCCCTGGCACGCACCGGATGTCACTGCGTCCGTCCACTGCTCCTCTACGTGCCCCTTTGCCTTCTCCTCCTGCTTCCTCTCTTCCTGCTCTTGCCGACCCGGAGTCGGACTCTCTTCGTGCTGCCAGTCCTACTGTCACGCGTCTCCTTGCTACTGCTGTCACTGACCCTTCCTTCGAGTCGTCTGCTGCGTCTGCCCTTGTCACTGAGCTTGTCGACTTTGCTGCGCGCTGTCGTCTAGACTACGCTGCTCGTCTTGTCACTGAGTCTGAGTCCGCCTGTCCTCCGTCCGTCGGGGGTGAGTGTGCCCTTGGCACTGACGTCCTTGAGGACAGGCAGGAGGAGTTCCAGTGTCTAGCCGCTGCTTCACCTCGTCTCGCGTCTGTACAGCTAGCCCCTGAGGGAGACCCGGATGCACTAGACATCCCGACTCCGCGCTCTTACGCGGAGGCGATAGAGGGTCCCTACTCCTCTCAGTGGCAGGCAGCTATGGATGCAGAGATGGCTTCCTGGAAGTCCACAGGCACCTACGTTGATGCTGTTCCCCCTCCTGGGGCGAACATCGTCAGTGGCATGTGGATTTTCAGGGTGAAGCGGCCGCCGGGTTCTCCGCCTGTCTTCAAGGCGCGTTACGTGGCTCGTGGCTTCAGTCAGCGGCAGGGGGTTGACTACTTTCAGACCTTCTCCCCCACCCCGAAGATGACCACTCTTCGGGTTCTGCTGCACGTTGCTGCTCACCGCGACTACGAGCTGCACTCTCTCGACTTCAGCACAGCTTTCTTGCAGGGCAGCCTGCACGAGGAGATCTGGCTGCGTCGCCCACCTGGCTTCACTGGGTCTTTCCCTCCTGGTACCCAGTGGAGTCTCCGGCGTCCAGTCTACGGTCTCCGCCAGGCGCCACGTGAGTGGCACGACACACTGAGGACTACACTCGCGGCACTTGGGTTTGCTCCTTCTACTGCCGACCCGTCGCTGTTTCTGCGCACCGACACCTCTCTGCCACCGTTCTACATCCTCGTGTACGTCGACGACTTGGTCTTTGCCACAGCTGACACTGCTGGACTCGCCTACGTGAAGTCCGAGCTGCAGAAGAGACACACGTGCACTGACCTGGGTGAACTGCGTAGCTACCTTGGCTTGCAGATCACCCGGGACAGAGCACGCCGCACCATTACCCTGACTCAGTCACACATGGTGCAGCAGGTCCTTCAGCGCTTCGGCTTCACGTACTCCTCGCCTCAGGCCACTCCTCTGCCTACTCGCCACTCGCTCTCAGCTCTGCCTTCGGATGAGTCCGTAGAGTCGAGTGGTCCGTTTGCAGAGCTTGTTGGCTGCCTCATGTACCTGATGACCTGCACACGACCTGACCTCGCATACCCTCTTAGCATTCTCGCACGCTTTGTTGCTCCTGGGAGACACCGACCAGAGCACATGGCTGCAGCGAAGAGGGTGTTGCGCTACTTGTGCAGTACGTCGGGCATGGGGCTAGTGCTTGGAGGGCGCAGTCCAGTGGTCCTCACTGGGCACGCAGACGCTTCTTGGGCTGACGACCAGGCTACGCAGCGGTCGTCACAGGGTTACACCTTCAGCCTTGGTTCCGGCTCTGTCTCGTGGCGGGCTACCCGCTCGTCTTCTGTTCTCGGCTCCAGTTGTGAGGCTGAGATCTACGCTGGGGCTATGGCTGCGCAGGAGTTACGCTGGCTCACCTACCTGCTGACCGACCTTGGAGAGCAGCCTCGTTCTCCTCCAGTCCTGTACGTAGACAACAAGGCCATGCTGGCCTTGTGTCGAGAGCAGCGTCTGGAGCACAGAACGAAGCACATTGCTCTCCGCTACTTTCTTGCTCGTGAGCTACAGCAGCGTGGACATTTGCGACTTGCGTACGTGGCCTCTGAGGCCAATACTGCTGATGTCTTCACCAAGGCACTTGCGCCTTGTGATCATCAGCGTTGTTGCACGCAGTTGGGTCTTGTGCCTGTCTTGCCTCACTTGCTCTCCTCTTGACCTTGCTTGTACCTTCGCCTATATATACTCTTGCTCTTGCTTGCTTGACTCTTCTATATCTCTATATATGATCTTGCATGTGAGCTGGCCGTCTGGCCTTTGAACTTGTGCTCGGAATGCGTGGTGACTTTGTGATCCACCCCGAGCTTGCTTTGCTTTGCTTTGCTTGACTGGTCTTGTGACCCCTTGTTCTCCCCCACTTTGCCTATGGGGGTGTGTCAGAACATATCTATAGCTTATACTATTGTGTAGGCTGTAGTGGGGTATCCCATAGGGGGTACAACCCAGTTAGGGTTTCATATTTGTACTGCCTTCATTCATAGTTCACTCATTCCTGTTCATTCAGTTTCTCACGTCGGCCAGACCAAGGGGGTCGAAGGCACCGCCGGGGTACAGGGGGTCCTCAACCTCTTGGAAGCCCTCGAGGCCACCCACGCGGTAGCTCTCAACGGCACCCATCAGGATGACCTGGGTGGCCCAGATGGCCAGGATGGACTGCGCGTGGATGAGGCTGGGGTTGCCCAGGTAGTCAAGGCCACCCTCCGAGAAGATCTGAGCGCCGGCCTTGAACCACACGGCCTCGCCGAAGTTCACGCCGTTGCCAGCGAGCAGCTCGGGGGGTGAGGCAGCCCAGGGCACCGAGGAGAGCCCACCGAGCGTGGATGACCTGAAGATTCGAGGAAACAGGGGAGAGAATGGTTGATTCCGTCAGAACCTTGAAACAGTGAGCGTTGTAACGCATCGACGGTGAGAGAATATCGAAAAAAATGCAAGATTTTGTTTTGAGACATTTAAAAGGATTGGTTCAAGTTCTTGCATGCGAAATGTGCCTCATTTGTGCTGTTCGAGACAATTCCGGTAGGCTTACCTCAAGCTCCCGGTTCTTGGCGAAGGTCTCGGGGTCAGCGGACAGACCAGCGGTGTCCCAGCCGTAGTCACCGGGGTACTCGCCGGTGAGGTACGACGGGGGGGAGCTGAAGGGGCCCAGGAACAGGTTGCGGTCGGGGCCGTAAAAGGCGCTGCTGGAGGAGGCCTTAGCGGTCTTCCTCATGGTGACGCGAGCCTCGACATTGTTGACCTTGGCGGCGAGCTCAGCGCTCTGGCCGACGAAGGTGGAGGGGAGCACGGCGGCGTTGGCGAGGGCAGCCATGATGGATGTCTGGGCTGGGAAGGGAAGCTGTTTGAGAGCTGAAATAAGGGAAACTGGAAACGAGCTTCTGCTTCTGCTGATTGCTGAAGTTCTTATGAAATATGAATGAAAATTGCGTGTGGGGGGAACTGGTTGGATGGAATTACGGATGTGCCTAGGAGCGTTCTGACTGGATGCCATTTTTGAGTACGAACCGCGTTTTTCCCAGGCTTCCGACGCTCGGGGATCTCGTTTTCCCCACAGCGCAATCAGGGCTCAGCCAATGGCGAGGGCCCTGGTTACCACCTGATGGTGTTTTGTGTGTGGTGTCGGTGTGGTTGCACCAGAGTGGTTTTGCTTGTTTGGAGCGGTTGTGCGATGAAGGTTGCGACCGCCACGAAATCACGATGTTTAAAAAATTGTGGTAATCAGGTCTCTGTGACGTGGCGTGCAATCTGATTGGATGAGAAGCTAGGGGGATATGTGTGTGGACCACACGAAGCTTGCGTGTCGCCTAGCAAAGTTCCACCACTTCAGATCAGAATCTCTCTGCTGGTAACACTGTGCGAGTGCAACTTCACGAAGTCGGTTTGCGAGGCTTGGGCGGTGTGCATGCGACGAGCGTGGTGGTGAGGCAAGCTGACTGGTGGGATGAGGTAATCTGGGATTGGGCTTGTGGTACTGTATTAGGGTGCGTGTGATCTTTTTTCAAGTTCGGAAAAAAGGTCGACCTTTGTGTGGTTACCACCGACGCTAATGTCGTCAGGAAGCTTTGGCGAAGGCATGAGAATTTTGGGGCACATAAGTTCGAATGTCAAATGTGAACTCAACTCGAATCACACGAGTGAACGTGCGGGTGCACGTGAGGCGAGTGTGTGTTGTTTTCAGCACGTACGAAGGCCACCCGAAAATCGTGACCACTTTGCGAATGTCGTTGAGCTTCGTTGCGCATTGCGTTAACGTGTCGCGCTGTACCAGGTAACCTACTCCCCTACGGGCGGCTCGCCGCCATCCCTAAAAGGTCGAATCTCTGTGTTCGACCTTGGGTGTGTGATTGTGACTCGTCTGTGTTGGAGACCCAAGATTCGAACTTCGCTGGAAAGAAAGTCGAGTTTTGTTCAAATGGTACATTCGACTCAAAAACATAGACTTTCACAAATTTGTAAGACCACACGCGCCCTTTGTTGCGGTGAGGCTGATTGCTGAGAGCTTTTCACGGATAGTTTGTTGTCAGAGGATTCGGACGGTCTGTTGTCAACCTTTACCGAAACCATTGCTGGCAAACATATCGCGTGAAGCCAAAATAGTTGCGCTAGCAATCGAGCAATTGTTTTCTGCGGCACATTCATGTGCCAGCACCGTTATCCCACGATTATTGAAGCTTGAACACCAACACCTAACGTCACGGCGAGGCATTCTTGTCCGTCACAATGAAAGCACATCGTCAGAGTTGGCACCTGAACACATATTATAAGTTTTTAAGTCTTGCGGAAGGGTTGGTGAGTTGCTGATCGTTACAGTACTTGCGAGCAGGCAACTAACTCAGCAACATCTCAAAAAATTCGACCTTAAGAATGGCAATTTAAAGCCATAATCGCCCTCTGTATGGCAGGTTTATGGCCCGAAACTGGCGGGCTGTATACAGGCAGGTTCGTAGGCATTTAGGGTCCGTAAATTCCCCGCCTGTGTATCGCGCGGAATGGCTGTTTACGCCAATATTCAGGTACACCTCAATGCTTGTTCATGGCTGTATATGGCATGCAAATGTCTAGAAACTGGCCCACAGTTTATCGATTGTTAAAGGCGTGCAATAATTGCCTGCTTATTGGAGGCACAAAAATCCCTATTAATTGCCGTGCCATTATTCAAGTCTGTCATAAATGGTGTTACATTGGCCCAAACTATACTGTCATGGACAGGTTGATTATCCTTATGTAAGGAGACAGAATTTATTCGCATACCTATTCATTTACCACCCATCCAGTAAACAGTACCCGAATTAATCGTTATATTTCTCATAAAACAGTTACATTAGAAGGCACACATAGAGTCAGAACGCTACCTATCCTACAGAGCAACCTTGCGGTAGCCCTACACAAGTCCTTCAAATGCAAACTCAAATCCTTCGATGAGGATTTTCACAGCTCCACTGCCCATAACAAAACCTGCAGGAGCTTCATCAGAGTAAACAGCTTCGCGTGCTTCGAGCCGGGCCTTGATCCAAGAGATGACAACAAGAACCTTTGCAGCCACGGCGGCCCTGTTATTCTCATCAGAGGCATCCAGGGAGGGGTTTGCACGACCATTGTGGTTTGCCATAGGCCACTCCACCTGCAGGAAACCACAAAGGCATGAGTGCATATCTAATATGTATTGAAAAAATAATGACCAACAGGAAAAGAAAAACGACTTACCACATGGCAAATTGTTGCCACAGCAGGGATCTTGACGTTGAAGCGGTTGCAGCGCTTGCCGCCAAGTCCTTTGCAGATGGCGAGCTCGAACGGTCGGCTGGCAAAAGGGCGGCCAGATCCGTCACAGTGCCAATTCGAACCATACAGAGCTGCCAGGACTAAACGGGACGGGAGTTTTAGACTGTAGGGGTGTTGTTGCTAGTAAGCGCTACAAAAAAAAAAAAAACTCACCATCCCGAAAGTGGGCGTGCCACTCTGCAGGCGTGCGGCGACGCGATGGCGCAATGTTCTCGCTCGCAAGCATCGCGACTTTGTTCTCGGTGATATAGCCACCAGGGCCATGCGCGTAAGGCTTAACCACCGCGTAGATGTTGCAACGGCGCTCCGACATCTTCTGCAGCATGATGCGCTCGCGCTCGGGATTCTCCGCCATCACCCGGATGAACATGTCAAGTGGCACCCCGACGTCCTCGTACAGCTCCTGCACTTTGCGCCTAAGCTGTGCCAGGGAGGGGTAAAATGACTGCTCTCTCGCTGGAGCTCCCGCTATGAAGCAGTTGACCGCGTCGTTGCACTTTTGCTGCACATAACGACGACAACGAAGAATAGGCATTTGTTAGAATTAAAAACGAGTCAGTCAGTCAACGAGAGATACAAAGTCAACAGTACGAACTTTAAAAACCCAGCACACTAACCTTGAAAAATGATAGGTCCAGAAGCACAGGGGGGATTGCCGCACCCTCCTGCACGTCTGGAGCCGTCGATGGCCCAGGCGCGTTGGTGGTCGAGGGCGGGCTGCTGCGCTGCGCAGTTGCGTGCAGCAAACCAGCGCCAGCTCCGGTACTCCGGCTGTTGGAAGATGATGGGCCGGGGCTACCTCCCGTTGCTGGGGCAGGCGGCTGGTGGGCAGCAACGACTGCTCGCATTCGTGCAGCCTCCTGTTCCTGTTCTTCCAGCTGCTGACGGAGGGCCGCGAGTGTGTCGGCCTGTTGCGCAATCGTCCGCTCCATGTCGCGGTTCTGTGCCACCTGCTCATTAACCGGAATCGGTCGAGCTGCAAGGTAAAAAACAAAATGGAAGAACATAAAAAAGTAGGTTAGTAGGTTGCCTGGACGAAACTATGTGGCACAAACGTCAATTTGCAAAAATACAGAAACCGGACAGAAGTTACTAACCTGGTTGCTTCGGCTTTTTCCCACGTGCTGACGCGTGAGCCGCTGGGTCAGCGCCCATGAGGCCAGCGACATCGGCGCTGCGCCTTCGGCTCTCAGGACGGTCATCCTCGGCCGGATCGTCCTGAGGCAGTACAACGGGAGTTTCGGCTAACTCGCACTCGTCTGGATGTCCCTCACCCTCGTCCTGCTCCTCACCCTCGCCAAGACCTTCGCCCTTGTCGATTAGAGCGTTGAGTTGGTTATCCTCCGGATCGGCGTCAGGCTGAGACGTATTGGCGGCAACATCTGCTGTTGCGGGATTTTTGTTAGACTCCTCCTCCGCGGCTGTTTCTGCAATGTTTGGGTCGGGAAGTGACTGGTGTGCAGTGCTGGCTTCTTGTCGCTGCAACTCCGCGTTCAGCCTGTCCCTCAGTGCAGCAAGATCTTCACGAGACATTTCTTGCAGCTCAGGGTTGCGAGGAATTTCTTTGTTACCAGCACCCTAGCGAGTGCTGGACCCCCCAGTCTTCTTCGTTGGTGGCTTGTAACCACTAGTGTCGTGACCAGCCAGGCGAACTGAAGTCGTGAGTTGGCGTTGAGGACGACCGGGAACTTGAGCCTGATTGACGCGGGCCTGGGTTAGGGGGGCACCGGTGGCAGCGAGCTGATTGGCCATGCTGAGCGTGCGGGAACGATTGGGGGGATTGGTTGGAAAACTGTGTGCGACGATTGATCCGTCGCACAAGCAGTCATATATGCCGATTCAACACACCTAACGAACTGATTTCATTGGTTGTTCAAACCATGAAGCAATGCGTTGGAGAATCGTGCGAATCGCAGACTAGTGCGAGTCGCAGGCTGTACCGCGAACCACGATTCGAATTCTGGCGAATCCCTCGGCCCGCGCACCATCGAACGTTCTGCACAAATGCACCCCGAGCTGCAAAGAGAATCTATTTTGTGGTCACAGCGACCGGTTCGAGGGGTCCCGCCATGTGGCGCATTATAGAACTCACAAAAGTGGCGCATTGTTTGTGATCTGCACTACACTATGGATGTTTTAAATATGGGGAATAGCTCAACAAAACTATAACATGATTATTCATGATGTGTGGTGCAAACTATGGGAGCATGTCTTGTATATGCTTGATCAAATATGTACAACTACATGACATGACGCTTCAAAATATAAAATGGTTCAACAACCACAAAGGTTCACTAGCTTGGGGCTGCACAAGGTGGACGGCACGCAGTATACTCGTCGTCTCTACCACCCGATATCTCTGATTCATTGCAGCCCACTTGAGCTGCTTGCAGTGGGTCTTCTCGTCTGGCTCTGGAAGTGCGTCGTAGTACTTGATAAACGCATAGTCGCAACGATCCCTCCCATGCCCAATGTGAAACAGGAGGAGCACCTTCGCGTACCACTCACCGGAGCCATGAATGGCTACGT